ATATTTCATGTGTGAATACATAATAAAGTCTTGAGTATAGTATAGAAAGAAAAAAATAAAAATAAAAAATAATTTTTCATATTTTTAATGTCATATTATTATTATTAATGAATTTTTTCTCCAACATGAGTACGAAATCACTATTTCTTTGACACAACACTAAAAAATATTTATAATTTTTATGACATTTATTGTGAATATATTGCAGACTAACGGCGACCAAAGGGACGAACTATTATATTACGATCAAAGAGATGCCGGTGTTATAGTCCACCAGACATTGAGATTTGAAGTAAAAACTAACTTGCTAATTAAATAATCTTATTAAATAAACTATTGCATAATATATCGCACGGAATATTCCGTTAAGGAAACTACTTTTCAGTCAATATTCCCATTGAGTATTGAAAAACTTATTCAAATGAATTGATTTGTTTTATTAATTTACAAATCGATAGAATTTGGGGTTGACTTTATGACCTTGGTTTAATATTATGTATTTGAATAGGTTAATAAATTTTCATTTATATATAACCGTACTCCACCTCCCGGTGCGATATATAAGCAATGTGTTGATGTTATACATACAGAATATTCTATACTTTAATTCCGTATACAGGACTCGGATGGCACTGAAGTGCAACAAACAGCTGTATGACTGTCAACATACCGGTGCTCATTGGAAATACACGTTAAAATTATTGTACAAAATATTCTTTTATGACACACAGAATCCCGTATTTATATATGAATTTTCACAATCAATAGAGAATTGGATTTAAAATTAGATAAATTAAATATAATTGTAATTTAACGTGACATGTTAAATGTCGAAAAATGTGTAAATATAGTGAGCATGATAAATTTTCCAGAATAAAATTGTAGAATATGTGTATAATTGCAATAAAATTATGTACAAATATTTGCATTCAATTATTGTATCTATATTATATCACTTTTTATTTTACACCTGATAATCACTCAACTAATTGTAAATATTTAAAAATGTAAATTACTTTATCCAGATAAAATACAGTATTAAAAAACCACATTACTCAGTTGTACACTTGTATATAATAATCATTACTTAAAAACTCAATGTAATTAAAAGTGCAATTGTTTAAACAAATTCATAATTTTTATTGTGTTTATTAATAATTTAATTCATTAACACTCATTTATAATGTGATAAACATTTTGTAAAAACTATAACAATAAAATTTTATATTTAATCAAATTAAAAATAATCTTAATAATTAATTTACTATTATAAAATTTATGTAAAATTAATTTTTGCGAATATAATTTAACCCTGAAATAAACTACCAAATTAAGTAATAATTATAAACCAAATAACATGCTAATTAAATAAATGAAATCAACCTTACAGTTTATAACTTTAAAAATAGGACTAATTTTGTAATCACTAATCATTATAAAACTTATATTTTTGTTGTAAGCCTTATAAATTTCATAAAAACTAATCTTAACAAGCTTATTAAATATTATGTCCTCACTCATTGCTTATGATATCGGTAGCCATTAGTGTATATTTAGGGCATAAGTAGACTGATCTCCAGACTCGAGGCAGACATCCAGACAACTATAAAACAACATTTTATATACGATTTACTGTCGAAATGCTATAAAAATAAATCACTGAAAATAAGTCCCATTTTTGTAGCGCATTGTTAGCTAAAAATATTAAGTCAATGATCACAAGCGATGCCTTTTATCTCGACTATAATTCCGTTGTCATAATCATAATGTATATGAAATCATAATGTATTTGAGCATGGTTGTTTTATTTGTTGACAATTCTGCGTATTTTGCATCATGGTATTAAAATAACTATGATAATACATTTTATGATTAATATTATTATATAAATTTTATATGTATGTACAAATATTTTTTATGATCATTTTAATTTAAAATTTTTAAACATAACTGAACTGTAATATTTTAAATAGTTAAAATTACAATGATTATATATGAAGTTTTGTACCAAGTATGGGTAATGTTGGCAGTCGCATTGAATTATTTTAAAATATAAAATATATTTTAAAGTTTTGTTTAATAGTCTAATAATATAGTATTTTTACAACCATTTGATTAGTTATAAATATGTTAAACGTTCACAAACTGTACAATTAATTTTCAATTTTATCAGAGTAAGTTATTCAAAATTTAATTTAAATATTGGACCTCAAAGTCTTCCAATTTTTACCAGTAATCAAGCTAAATTTATAAAATAAAATTGTTATAAAATCAATTTAAATTAATGTTTAATTAAACAATTAAATGTATTTATTTTTAAATGTGTTAATTTTTTTATATTTCAAATAAAACTATAATACTTTAAAAATCAAGGTCTTATTATTATATAAATAGTTTTGTTTACAATTTTGTAACAATTAGATACCGATAAACTACTCGTGCATAACTGTAACTATAATAGTTGGTGAGCTACCGGTGCTCAGGCATGGAAAACTATTTATAAAATTTAAGAGTTAATGTTATATTAGAAAAATTAAATGAGATATTAGAAAATATATTGACTCTAATAACCATGATTATACTAGTCATTTTGTGTTAGATGTACATTATAATTATCAAGCTAATTAAGCGCACATTCACAGTAATGTAAAGCTACTAAAATATTAATATACAATGTATTTCATTAATATGTTTTGTTAGGTATTTGTATAAAAAATATTTTTAACAACATTTTAATCAAAACCAAACAAAACAATAGGATTTCATATTATGTTATACAGGGTATTGAATAATGAAAACAAAATTTTTGTCGCAAACAATAGGCAGGCATTGAATGGGATGTCATAATATAACTAATATCACCATAATTGGCATTTGATGTCTAGTTTTAATAGCAAATGTCATTTCAATTCAATGCGAATACTATTGAAACACCTATTATGATGAACATGTATGAGCCCAATAGGCAGCAACATAATAATCGGTAGGTATATGAGCACCAAATGTTCAAGTACAAAGTGTAAAAATATTTTTATGTATAATAGTTTTCAAATTTTTTTAAATTTTAATTTTCTTACTTAAGAAATACAATGAATTGTTTTCGACGGAAAACCAATCTGGAACTACACCTCATATTTTATTTAATACTGACCGTCATATTGTGCACCATTATTGTGGTGTTCAGTATTATTCATTCAAAACATTCAAAATGTGACCCTGATCATCAAAATAAAGGTAGAACATAACTTTATATACAACTTTATTTGATAAAAATTATTTAAATTATTAAATTTCAAAAGAAATATTCCTTGGTTATTTGCTGCCATTTATAAAGCTTATATTTTGTTTTAAAAATACAGTAGTAATTTTAGTTCAACATGCCAGTTTATTTAAAATAGGAAAAATATTTACTGTATTTGTTAGTTTTTTTTGTATTAAAGATGTATAATATTTAAAAATAGATAAATGTTCAAGTTAATAAGTCACAAGAACATCACTAAAACACCAATATTAATTATACGTATATTTTTATAAATGTCTATAAAAATTCAACTTTATAGTTTATTAATATTAAAACAATATCAAACTAAAACCTATTATTTAACAGGTTAAAAATATTGATAAATCTAATTTATACAATGAAATATTTTGTACCCAGACAATTTCACGTCAACTCACTCGACACCGATCGTAATCGTCGAAAAGCACAACATATACGTGGACTTAAACTACCAGTCCTTGGATACCGACCCCAAAGTGCGGGCCGTTATAGTGAAGGCTCGCAATTCTGTGGAGTTATTGCGGAACGCATTGAATATTCCGTGCGTTGGGGTCGGAGTAGCTGTTAATGGCAGCACACTATGGGCTGAAGGGGTCGGGTATTCAGACATTGAGAATGGCGTCAAATGTCACCGACAGTCGGCATTCAGGTTAGAGACGAGAGAGAGAGAGAGAGAGAGAGAGAGTCAACATTAAAATATTTACATATTATTATAATTTTGCATATAATATGATACGTGCTCTAAATGGTTGACCCAAGGGTGTGTATGTCTGTAGAATTATGTAGTGATTTATAAATTACCATGGTATTTATTATGTTTCAAATTATGTGATTATTTATAGAGATCTTTCTAATGATATACTATGTGGTGTCAGTAAACCCTTATACTTTTGTTATGGACATCACCGTATGTTGAATATTAATATAATTGTATAATATTTCCCATTAAATAAATCTCAGACAATATAATTCATTTGAATAAATATTCAATTTATGGCATGAAATCAAATATTTTTATTTGATATTAGTTTCATTACACATTAAACACGAATTTCATTATAATATTTATTGCATTATCGTTTTCACCAGAATATTCTAATGTATATGTAATACCATTTTCAAGAATATTCTGATGAAATATAATATCGTGTTAAAAAGATTGAATCTAAAAATTAATGTTTGGAAATTAATGTCAATAAAACTTTTAAACCGTAACATATTGAAACAGGCAAATTTATGAAATAAAAGTTGATTGCTTAAAAATAAATATTGGTGAATTTGAAACCGTCATTGGTAAATTTTATTATAAGTTAAAAACATATTTCACCAATAGTAACTTATTTTTGTAACAATTTACAATAGTCAGAATAATGATAATAATATAAGAATATTATAAAATTATTTAGAAAATTAATAGTTTTTAATATAATAGTGTCAATAAAGTTAAAAATGAGTAAGCATAATTTAAAAACTGTATCATTAAAATCAATGTGCTAATGAAAGGGTTATTTTGCTAATATTATAAAAAAAGGCCTAAAAATCCTAACCTAACCTAACCAATTAAAATTTTGAGGTAATTTTTAAATACAGTATGTACACTGACAATTTTTAATAATGAGTTTGTTGGATATTTACAGACATTTATGAAAATAATACAATTTTTTACAGAATTTAAATTTTGTGTTTTGAGATCAATATTTATAAACACAAATTCGTGTCGAATATATCCATTGCATGGCATTTAATACTACAGAATATTCTCATTTCGTACGGCATTCCGATACACTGTCTCTCATGGAAAGGCATGCTTTCAATCATCAAAATGTGTCAAAAAATTGATATAAAAAGCGTTATTATAAAATCTATCTCAAGAATCCAATGGTATATCCCGTGAGATAATGTCCCTGGAGTTGTTTTGCTCACATACCAGTGCACACATACATTTCACTTTTTTATGGTACCAGTGCTAAGAATATATTCCTAGTGTTAAAGTTTACACCCATAAAAAATATTTTAAATTTTTAATACAAATAATATTTTTTGCATTTTGACAAATAATGTCATTTCACAACAAAATGTGAATATGATATAATTGTGACAGGTCATACTGTATATACTAGAAAGTATTTTTAAAATTAATAAATAAATAGAAAGTTTACCTGATTGATTTTTAAAATTTAAAAGTGAGTCATAATTTTGGTGTTTCATGAATGCAAACAATTTGAAGATTATAATTATATATAATATATTATAATTTAAATAGTACAGTTTTTTAATCGTGTATCAAAATATTATAATATGAATAATATTTTTACAATTATCCAAAACTGTAATATAAATATAAAGTTTATGATATTGTTATAAAGTTATCAATTACATTTATATTTGGTGTTACCAACGGCCGGTGATTTAATATGATAATTAAATTGTTTTAATTTTTTGCTAAATTATATACTTAATCTATATAAATAATTAATTGAATATCAAACAAAACTTCAATCATAACAAAAGTACGCCTGATATGTATGGACACATATTTTGAGAAATTGCACTCATTTTTCATGCGATCATAAAAAATAAAAACAATAAATATTGTGGTGTTTCTCACGAGACATCGCTAACACAAACACATCGAGTGGTGGCATAAAAAATGTGACAATATTTTTCATTTACTAGTATTTTCTCAAAGTATTTGCGAGTCATATATAATAGTTATATGAATGTCATTCAACACACATAAAAAAGCACTTTTGATACTAATTTTGATGACAAATTGTATGTATTACATGAATTGGTTTTTTATGTGTAGATGTGTAGGGAACTACACCTCAACACGATTGCAATTGAACACAAATTTTGCTATTTTTTGTATTTATTATGTTTATTAGGATTAATATTTGGGAGTATTCTCTCTCTCTCTCTCTAAAATTCAAATATTATTTTTTATTCTAAAATAATATTAATTTAATTTGCCAATATTTTTAAGTAAATAAGATTTTTTAATGTTACATAATAACCATAATTTGAATGTTACAGTTTGGAAAATATCAAAAAGTTATTTTTATATCACTTTTTATTATAAAATAATTGAATTTACAAATAAAAATATCATTAAACGAATAATCAACTCAAATAAAAATTACAATTTTATAATTAATGCACTTTGTTTAGTTTTAATGTTACAGTTGTTGATAGTGCATACTTACAATAATAGCAGTGTTTATTAAAATAATAAATATTAATTTTACAATTTTAACAATAATTATTCGACAAGCAATTTACATTTTAACAAGCTAAAATATAATCTGATTACTAATTA